GGGGGGGGGGGGGGGGGGGGGAGCCGGTCATTGATGCTCGGGTGAGCACTAATTATAAATTTTAGTACCTATAAATACTTCATTTCATCTCCACCATTGTATTTCAGTACATTTGGTGATTTTCTTATCATTTTCCTACTAAAGAAAAAAAATGGAAAACAAGCCGGTTACAGTTGTTGAAGTTAGTAATAACATATTACCTTCTTATACTTTATAAACCTATATATAAAGTTTTGGATTAAATTGAAACGGTAAGAAATTCCATTAAAATTAACGGTCAAGTATTGAAAATCAATAAGTATAATAAATTTCATGTCAAAATGGGTTTTTCTATGCATATGATTTTTTTTTTTAAATTTTTGTCTCTAGAATGAATCAACAAATCTCTTTCTCTCTTGAATATCCTAATTTCGACGTGGATGATTTGATTTTGACCATATACAGGAGATTAATTGAATAGAGGAGATTAATTGAAAAGAGCGTAAATTGAATCCGACTACCTCTGACAATTAAAATTAAATTAAATTAAAAAAAAAAAAACAAAAAGACCAAGTTGAAGTGGGATGGGGGATTGGCATTGGCATTGGCATTGGCATTGGAACCATACCGATCTGCAGAGAGCTATGTATGTCAGAGTTTCCTACCTTGTATGTCTGAGTTTCCTAACCTTTTGTTCCCGCATGTGTGTGGAAGTTAAAAAAAGAAAGAAAGATTGGCTTTTGATTCTCTATTCTTATTAAAAATAACTTTTTTTTTTCCCAAATTTTTCATGGAAAATTAGGGCAAAAATGAAATTACGTGCCTTTCACGTAATATAGTGAAATCTCATTTTTGTCCTAATTTAATATGAAAAATTGGACAAAAAGTTAAATGCTGGGGCAATGTGAAATAACTGAAAATGTAAGGGATAGTGTGAATTGAGGAGCATAGTTTAAGGGATGTACGTGTAATTTGTCCCAATGAATTTCTTGGTTAATGTAGCTATCAATATGTGTTATGTCTTGGGGCTGATTATTATGGTCTTTTTCCCTCTGATTTCTCTTTTCTTCTCAGCCACCAAAACGGGGTAGGATTAGACCTTCATTTTCGAGGGTAAATATGCTGAAGAAGTTTCAAGAGATGACTACGAGACAGGTGAGTTATTTGATCCTAACATAGATGGTGAATTTCAAGATTCAATATTAAACAATAGCAATTGATTAGATCAAACAATTAGGTTCAATTTGTATTACTCATTTTGCTTTTATCTTAAACCATCTCCGAAAGTGATTCAAACCGTTACTCAATTTCGAGTAAAAAACTTTCTTTGATCTCAACATCCCCAACGGATAAATACACTCAATTTTTTTTAATAAATTCTAATTTTATCCCAATACCTCTTTTCTTTAGGTTTTTTTACTCAAAATCTTTTTCTCTACTTTTCTTCAAAACTTATTTTCTTTAAAAGTAGAGGCAAAAAATCGGAGATATCTCTGATAGTTAATTTGCGATGTGATTTCTGGAAAAGAATACTGAACAATCTTCAAATCACTTTCTTGCAAAACGAACAAACTGTCCAAGATCGAAGTATTTCGATCGAAAGTATTCCGATGCTTAAGTCAGTAACGGAACAGAGAGAATTATACCAGGATAAGGAGAATTCAGCGTACCTTTCACCTTGCTCTCTTGTGCTTTTTATAGATCATTATCCCTTTAGGGTTTTCTCGATTTTAGGTTCAAGGTGACACACTTTCCTTTAATTCAGTGGTTGAGTTTGGGAAGTTACTGATACTTCTTTAACAATTTCTCTTCATATCTTCAATCTCATCGATTTCGTTTATCTGATTGCCTAGATTTTAGGCGAATATTTAACTTTTCATCTATCGTTTTGAACAACTCGGACATATCGAACGCCGAGCACACTTGACATTTTTCGAATAGATCAAGAAGCTTAGTTTGGTACAAACTGATTTCTTCAATTGTTTTGTCGAGCACTTTGACGGACTCAGCTTGGTACAAGCCGAGCTCTTACCTTGCTTAGATGAACGGGCTGATAAGTTCGGCTCGATTAGAAAGCTCTTAGTGGAAGATCTTTCATTACGTGGCTGGTCTTATCAACATCACATGAACACATTTAATGCTATGTCACGCGTAATTATGAGGTTTAACCCCTTCATTTAATGCTATGTCTCATCCTCTTCTTTCTGTGTTCTTACTTCATCTGCACTTCATCTTCTTCATGGCTGCTCTTACTCCATTAGAAGTCTCTACTTTCAAAGTCAAATATAACATTCCAGACGACGTCGAGGTTAGAGTCGTTGGAAAAGATGAGCCATTGATTGGTACATGGGAATCAATCCCCATCCTTACTCGTGCCATAACCGAGGGTGGAATTCGTTTTCCTCTCGACCCTCTTCTTATTTGGGTTTTATCTGCTGCCAAACTTTGCCCCCTCCAATTTTGCCTCAACTTTTTTTGGATCGTTATGAGGGTGTCTTCTCTGAATAAGATTCTGGGCCTAAGTCTTGGATTGTGGGGGATCTTATATTGCTACGTCATTAAGGCCACCGGAGATAGCTACTATTTATCAATGAGGAAGAAGGAGAGGTATTTGGTAACCCACCTTCCAGATACAAACAAGGGACATGAAAATGATGTGGTGTTTGTCTCTGGCAACTGGAAATACGTTCCTGGTGTCACTCCATCCTATTATTACCCTTACGAAGAAGGCATGTCAGGTATTTAATAGCCTTTATTTTATGTTCTAACTTTGATTCTCAGTTGTCCTGATTTTTGGGTCTTCTTCTGCATAGGTGAAGCTATGAATGGAAGGATTTTTGAATCCTCAGTAAGGATGGATCAACTTCAGAAAGTTTGGAATTTCAACAAGTCGCTGTTCTGCCGAGTTGCACATACTTTGCTCGGATACATTCCCACATACACATCATTTATTGTCGTGCCAAACCGACCTAACGCCACTTTAGCCGCAGATAGGGAAGCGATCCAAGCAGCAAACTCCATGTGCCAAGAATAAGTCTTCCCTTTCAATTTTTGGGCGCAGGACAGTGAAGCAGTTCCTTGATTTTCTATCAACCGTTGAACCAATCCCTCCAACCAAGGCGACTCCAACTACTTCAATGACTCCGATTACTGTTCTTGACGAATCAACTCCCGAGGTCCTTCTTGAGGTGGTTCGTTCTGAAGCCGATGATGCAGACTCACCTTTGAATGATCAAGTTGATTTGCCTTTGGCCGCTGAAACTTCTGTTCATGTCAA